ACTCATCAGAGGTCTTCTGAGCTTCCTTTCACTGCTTTCAATGCTCTGCAATTATGGAACATCTCCTGTATCATTGTTGTTTTTGCCAACTTCATTCAAATGATTGTCTCAGTGAATGTGCTTTTCACAAGGGCTCATGTCAAAAAGAGTGATATTCTAAAGATGAGAGGAATAAGCAAGTGGATTCACCTCCGCTCAAAAAGCAGTTACAGTGGACTTGATTTTCTTGCCCGATATCTCTTTCCTGGACTTTTCTTACTGTACACCATTGCTTTTACATTGTTTTGCGTCAACATGTAGGATTTTCCATTTTCATGACAATTAAATACTATTGTTTTCTTGTGTTTTGAAAAGTTTTTTTCAAGTGCGAGAAGTAGATTGTTTTTAAGGAAAAAATCGATTTGTATAAGGTCGTTTTTGAAAAAAAACTTTAAGATTTAGCTGACTTTTTATTTGGTGGAAATTCTACGCACACGGCTAAAAAATCCAGTACTATTAAATCACCTGCTAATGACATCATTCCTCTGACTTGTTTGTTTCGCAAACAGTCAAATATAAAGCCAAAAGTTTAAGTGACACCTGGCAACGGAAAATTGACAAACACTTTATTTTATTTTCTACATAAAACCTTCAGCTCAGTCGAAGTATATAAATTTTAAATTTTTGTCAAATTGACAACTGTAACTGTTGATTATTTAAATTGAATTTGTTTAAAGTTAATTTAAACAAAAATGTATAAACAATTTAAAAAGTTACAATTTATTAAAAAGCCTCAGTTTGCTGAGTCAATACAGTCTACCGATTCATTTGATGATTCTGAGGTAACTCATTATTTACTTTTATTTCAAGTCTATTTATAGCCAACCACATAACTAATTTGATCATGTACAGTACGAGTCGTACAATGGCCAGAAAGCAGAAGGCGAAGTGAGCGAGTACCAGACGGAGCAGGAAGATTTCTGCTCAGGAAATTCAGTTTTATGCACAAAATGCAACAAAGATCACGATTGTTGCCCCAGCGTCAACCAGGTGGTCGCCTCAGCCTACGGAAACACTGGCACCGAGTTTGATACTAAGTTCTGAACACTTTAAACCACACACAGTAAACTCTTTAGAAAAGCACAGAATTGTGTAGATGAATTCATGCAGATACTATTCTTTAAATAAAAATTATTTGTTTTGCACTTTATTTTTATAAATGCATGACCGAGTTTACAATCAATTCTTGATTATCAGTAAAGTCTAGTTAAACGCCGAAACGGGTCGTTTGGTGTGAAAGAGCTCACCATAGCTTGGCGGAAGATCATTGTCAACTGCAGCCATGTCAATGGCAGTTCCATTGACGATTTCATTCACCGAAGGACAGTCAAAGTGAGACTGCCAGCAGAGTGGGCACAGGTCAGGCCTTAAGCAGAACATTCCACCCGGGTGTCGGACATCTTTCCACTGGGCAAGTTCATTTAGACTTGGTGTGGGCGTGGACTAGGGCTTGCAATGACAATTGTCGACAATGACAATTGTCGACAAAAATTTTTGTCGACAAAATTTTTTTTGTTTTTGTCGACAAATTGCAAGCCCTAGCGTGGACAGACGTGAACTGGACGTAGAAGAGCAGTCTTCGTCGTCATACTACAAAAACAAATTGAATATTACAAAATTGGATTACGATGAACAAGTAAAATAGCTTACTTGAGTTTCCATTTGCTGCTGAAAACTGCTGTGGCTCAATTTACGCAGCCGTTCGATGATCTTTTGGGGACACATTTGTTTTGAAAATAATGTTAAGTTTAGCAAAATTGAACAAAATTTAACAAATTTTGAGTATTTTAAATGAAACAAAACAGCTAAAGATGTTTTCTTTATATACAATGGCTAAAATGTAAACAACAACAAAAATGTTTAAATCGGTAGCAGATATTTAATTTCTCAGGTGTATTAAGACTCACAAAACAGAATATTCTGATAAGCAAAGTATAAAAAGTTTGTTGGTCGCTTTATTTGCCAATGCCGTCAATGCAGTGAATTTGTTCATTAATTTTATATTAAGCCAAAAAAGTTGAAATTATTGTGAAACTCTGACCGCCTACAGTAGTGATCTATGAGTACCTGAGTTTCAGACATAGAGCTAAAGTTAGAGAACAAACTGGTATAAAACCAGAACAGCCGAAATACATTCTAAAATTCGAGTGAAAATATACTGATCGATAGCTTGTTCGTCAAAGACAGTTCAAAAAGGCATAGACAATTGACATCAGAAAAGTACTATGAAATGAATTTTAGTATTTTTAAAATTATTTTTATATTTTAAACTAAAAAAAGTTTTAATGTTTTACACTTGACCCCAAAACAGTTTGTTAATTGATTATTGCAAAACAACAAAACAATGTAACATTAATAAAAAGTTTTGAAGTAAAAATACTAATATTTTAATTTCAGGTTGTGTTGTCAACACACATTGACCAAAAGTGAACTTGGAAACCTGTTGTTATGTTACATCAACTAACAAATTTTTAATTTTTTTTAATTTTATTGTAAAATGCAGCTTACATTAATTTTTTATGAAATTTTACTAAAACAATTGATTAAGAAATTGCATTTTAATACTTACTATAATTACAATTTATAAAATTAAAATTTAACAAATTTAAAATCATAACAGTTTTGTGATATTCATTCATCAATTACTAAATTGATTTGTCATTCAAAAGACATTAATATTATTTTGTGTAGTTTAAATTAATGTACAAAGTTTTTACATTAAAAATGAATAATAAATGCACTTGATAAAATTAAAAAAACTACAATTATTTTAATGATAAAAATTAAAATTTAAAATAAAAATTAAAGTTGTTTTTGCAAACTGACAGTTTAAAATGCTTTGTTTTGGACAAAACTCTTTTCCTTATTTGTGCAAACTTTTTTTTAGCTCATTGCTAAATCATTATCGCGTTCTTTTCCTTGATTTTGATCCTGTATATGATGCCAATAAGTTGGGTATAACTAAAAATGAATTGTTAACCAGACAAAAAAGTGATTTTAAAAACAAACAACAATCAACTATCAACTTACCTTACATCTTTCCAACTTTGACAATGCTGTACATTACTGTTGAATCACATGTTATCTATTTTCAAGCGCACTACACTAAGTCTCCGCATTTTCTCAGCAATTTATTTGAGCATCGAATTTATCCAAAAGCTTTTTGGGCTCAATCAGATGTCATTTTAGAAATTGGTAAAATAATGGCAGTAACAATTTATACTTGTTTGCTTTTTGATAAAAAACTAGACCCTAAATTCAACATGTTTATTTTTGTTAATTCAAAAAATAACAGCTTTGAAATAGTACAAAATGGTCGCGTTCTTAGTCCAGAAGTTTCAAAAGAAATTGCGCAATATCAAAAACCAATGACGCATTACATCAACATTCTGAGTGGAACCGTTTTCTTAGTTCTTTCACTCTTTTGTTCGAGCACCTTTTTAACTTTTTGGACTGGTTCTTTTCGCGATTATTTAGTACTTTTAGAATTGATAGGTTTTCTTATGTACATACCCATTAGCAACCTTTACATGATTTTTTACTTTATGATGGTTGTGAGGTACATACGAATAAAGCAAAACATAAATCATAAAAAAATTAAAAATTTGAAAACAATGGTTTCTAGTAAAAATACTCATCATCAAAAAAGGTAATTAAAAGGGATTTTAAACTTAATGTTAGAAATTGAAACTTTTCCCAAAATGCACTTTTTCAAAAATAATTGCAACGGTTTTAAGAATTTTTGTGACAGTTTTAAAAGAAAAAACTGCATTTGTAAACAAAAAGTTTCAAATTAAAAAACAACTTTATTTTTCTTGTTATTTTTAGTTTGTGGAATGCGCTTAACAATCTCAACTTTGAAACATCTCGAATTTTTGATGAAATTAAGAGTCAAAATTCTTATTGGAGCAAATATACCACAGTTTACTTTGTCGTTTACATATTAGAAATTTGTTATCTCAGCTATGCATTTTTATTTGTGCCTACCAATGTTGGCATTAAACGACTTTTCTTTATATTTTTTACTATTGAGTTTATACTTTTGTTGATTTATATCACATTAGAATGTTCAAGAGTTGTTACTACTAATGAAAGAATGCACAGAGATATGCAACAGATCTCACTAAAGTTTAAAACATCGTTAACAATAACAGAATTGCTTAAACTTGATCAGATGGAAGCAAATGGAAAAAATGTGTCAAGAGTTTGTTTTAAAATGATAAACAAATATCACATCAACTCACAAATGTTTCAATTAGTAAGCTAACAAGTTTTACTTTTATAATATAATTAGAAAATTTATTTTTTAACAGATTTTTTATTACACAAGTTTATTCTTTATGATGGTTTTCCGAAATAATCAAGAAATGTCTTGATAAAAAGCAAGCATTTTACTCATTTGATAAAAATGTTTTTCAGTTTGTCTTTAGAAAAGTATTCAGAAAAAACAAGAAGATTAGCAAAATATACTTTTTGTTTAGTAATTTGAAAGATGACGGCTGCAAAATAAAGCAGACTGATTTGCATTTCTAAATAATTTTAATGCATTTTAATGGCCCATTTTGTTTTAAATGCACATTTTTTGCACAACCCTGTAACAATATAAAATACTTTTACAATATAAAACAATTGTTATTGAGGGTATTAAATATTTAAATATAAAGCAGTCCAAAAACAAAATTATTTTAAATATCAAAAACACTAGTAAAATTATTTACAATGTGTTTTTTATTCTCTCTTTTTTCCAACAAAAATCTGTCTGTCACAGTTCACAACTTTCGATGTTTCAAGAAAGGCAAAAAAGCAAGACCAGAAACAATGCGGAAATAACGTTTCCTTTTCTCTTTTTGATCCTGATCATGAACCAGGACATTATAGCTCTCTCTTCTTAATCACACTATAAAAACCAATCTTTTTCCTGGTTCATCTTCAAACAGCGTGCTTCATGTTTTGCTACAAAGATGAACGCTCAAGTAAATAACTTTTAATTAATTTTGTTCTTAACTTTTTTATTTATTAAAATAATTGTTTACAGATATCTTTTTACCTGATCTTAGCATCAGGCTTCATTCTCATTTTGCCAACATTTGTGTCTTGTCAAAACCGGAACCGAAACTCTAATAACAGCTCATCAAACGGTCCTGGCAATCAGACAACGGTCAACGCGGCCGTCATAACACGACAAATCGTTAGCTTCAGAAACGGCACATCTAGTTCATCTAACGTTAGCATTCCTATGATCATCATTGGACCTTCCAACTCGGCACCACTAGTCTTAAAAATGATTTCTGCCTCGACAAACCTGGAAGTCAGTCAAGACCACCGTAGCAGCAAGCCAAAGGTGATCACTTCAAGTTCAGTTGATGGAGCAATCATTTTGAAACAGTTTGTAAGGTAATACTAATAGATTTTATCATCTGAAAATATCGAATTTTATAACTAAACTTAACATTTGAATTCTTTTCAGACGACCAATATTACAATTAGTCAAAGAAACGCTTGTTCCTCAACGCAAAATTTATCAAGAGGCAAGTATCATCACAATGTCGTTTAAACTTTACTAATCAGTCCACTTTTCCGATTCAGGTTTTACCTGTAAGAGAGGTGATAAAAACCTGGCTCACCCAGCAGATTCCTCCTCCAAGCTCACAAGTTTCAAGCACTCCAGAAACGTCCACGTCGTCTGGTGATGAGGCAACGACTTTCTCCTCTTCTGAGTCGACCACTGCCGATGATTCTTCCTCAACTACCTTACAACCTCCAACAACAACAAGAGTGCCGACTAGGAGACCTGGTCGACCCAGAACGACTTCTACGACCACAACAGCTGCAACTACGACAGTCGCTGAGTCAGGAAGTAGCAGCTCAACTTTAGCAGAGAGTACAACAGTAACGGAAGCAGTTTCGACAACTGCTGTCATGGATTTAACAACGACATCAAAGCCAACGACCACTCCTAAGCCTCGACCTCGGCCACGACCAAAACCGAAAACAACCACAACTGCTTCTCCAGAAAGTACCACAGCTGCTGAAGAGACGACAACTACTGCTGAGGAATCGACCACTGCAGCCGAAGAGTCCACGACGACATCAAAGCCAACGACCACTGCTAAACCTAAACCTCGTCCACGACCACGACCAAAACCTAAAACAACAACAACCACAACTACAACAGCTCCAGAGAGTACTACGGTTGAGGAGGAATCAACAACTGCAGCAGAAGAGTCAAGTACGGCAAAACAGCCAACTACTACATCTAAACCTCGTCCTCGACCAAGACCAAAGCCAAAAACTACGACCACTACGGCTGCACCAGAAAGTACATCAGTAGCTGAGGAATCAACAACTGTTTTGACTGAGTCAACTACTACGTCAAAGCTTACCACTACCTCAAAACCGAAGCCAAAACCGAAACCAAAGCCAAAGCCCACAACAACAACTGCAAAACCTACGACAACGACCAGGCCTAAACCACGACCACGTCCGAAGCCTAAAACGACGACAGCCTCCCCAGAAAGTACAACAGTTGCCGAGGAATCGACTACAACATCGGAGGAACTGACAACAACATCAAAGCCAACTACAACGTCTAAGCCGAAACCACGTCCTCGACCGCGTCCCAAACCGAAAACAACGACAACAACAACTGCCGTTCCAGAAAGCACAACAATTACCGAAGAACCGTCCACTGCAGCTTCCGAATCACCGAGCAGCACCTCCACGACGACAGTAAAACCAACTACTGCTAAGCCTCGACCACGCCCTCGGCCAAAGCCAAAGACAACGACAGCGCCACCAACTACCACAGAGACTGGCGAATCAACCACTGCTTCTTCTGAGTCTACAACTGAGCCCGAATCTACAACTACATCAGCTCCAAGCACAACTTCTAAACCTAAAAAGCCAACCAGGCGACCAAATCGAAGAACGACGACCACCACCACGTCAGTACCATCAACATCAACTGAAGCCGAATCTTCCTCTACTACAGAGGCTGGCACTACTGCTTCTCCAGAAAGCACCACTGCCGAATCGACAACTGCCAGCGAGCCGAGCACAACAGTAAGTAGTACTACCACGACAAAGAAGCCTCGCCCAGGTCGTCGAACTACAACCACCACAGTTAGGCCGACTACCACCACAAAGCCTAAACCTCGTCCTAAGCCACAGCGAACAACAACGTCCACAACGACGTGTTTGCCATCAACTGAAGCAGAAAGCACGTCCATCACCTCAACCTCCACTGAGCTGTCAAGCACAACAGAAACCGCCACCTCAACTGAAACATCTTCTGAAGCAGCATCGTCAACTGAGCAGTCACCGTCAACCACCAAAGCACCCAAGAGAAAACCGACGAGAAAACCGAAAAACAACAAGAACAGGTATTTGTACTGGAGAATATCTAGGAAAAAGTTAACTTCAACAGCTGCACCCGATGAATCGACATTCCCGATGACTTCTGCCCCTGAATTAGCCTCCACAACTGAATTTGACTGGGACAGTATGGAGTATAACTAGAAATTTCGTAGTAAATTAGTATTTTATTTTGTTGTATGCAAATAAAGCAACGTTATTTTTTTTGACTTACATTTATCTAACTCATTTGTCTTTTTATCCAAACAAAAACAAAAACTAGCAAGTCATATTTTCACAAATAACCAACAAAAAGTTTAAGGTTATGCAAAAGATTTATTGCAAAATTGTAACAAATTACAAATATTTAACAGCAATTTCTTTCTGGTTTTTTCAACAAATCTCTGACAGTATATAAAGCTGCTCAAAACTTATTTGTTCTCATTCATTCATATCTCTAAGCTAAACTTCCAAAATGCACTTGAAAGTAAGTTGTCTACTTTTATATCTAAACTATTTTAAATTATTCAAATTTTTAATTTCAGTTACTTTTACTCTCTTCCTTGATCGCCACTTCATTCGCTTACGGAAAAGGTGGTGGTGGTGGCGGCGGAGGAAAAGGAAAGGGCAAAGGCGGCGGAAAAGGAGGAGGCAAAGGAGGTGGCTGTGGTGGTGGTTGCGGAGGCGGTGGAGGTGGTGGTGGTGGCGGTGGCGGTGGCAAAACCATCAAAATAGCAGTGGACAGTACTCACGTCTTTGAGCTGAAACCAGTTGCCTCATCGTCGAATGATGCTGATCTCCCCACACTGGTTGTTGAGGGTGGCACAAAACCACTGAAACTTCAGATGGGCAGCTCCAGCTCGGATGTAGAAATTGAAAACAGCCATAAAAGCTCTAAACCTCAAACAAAAACTAGCAGTTCAGTGGATGGCGCCATCATTATGAAGCATTACGTCAAAAAACCAATACTTCAGAAGGTATACGAAAAAATAACGCCGAGAAGGATCATTTATCAAAGTGTGATGCCAGTTAAAGAGTTTATCAAAACTGTAGTTGCTCAAGAAAAAAATGGAGGAGATGACGGTGGTGGAGATACAACAACTGAATCATCAGATAATGATCAGTATGAGTGAAAACTTATGCTACTTAAATTATTGTTATTTGTCTTATTTAAAATTTTAAAATAAAAGGGTATTTTAAAAAACTAAAAATTTTTGTATAGATGTAAAAAGAGTGAAAAAAATGTCACAAGAAATTGCCTTTTTTGTATGCTAAAAAAATTAAATTGCACGTTGTTGAGAAATTCTAATTGTTTTGATCATGAATATGCAATTATTTTAATGAAACACATACAAGTTTAGAAAATATAAGTTTTAAAATGACTAAACGTATGCAGTTTTGCAACAACACATGAATGTAGGTTGCAATTGCTGATGGCTCATCATAGCCTCACAGTTCTTGTGGTTTGTTGGTGAAAGCCACCATAACAAAACGAGCAAAAAGATGTTTTAAACACCATTTTTTAATCTCAAATTCAAACTTATTTAAGATAGCAGTTTACATTGTTTATTTAAAAGAAAGTGTTTATTGAGCTAATAAATATTTAAAAACAAATGACTCATTGGAAAAATTGGAGTTTTTTGTTTAAAATAGTTAAGAATTTCAGTAGAAACAATGTTCGTATTATTCTTAAAATTAAAATACCGAATTCTTGAAGCCGAATATAAAAATGTTTGAATAAGCTGATTTTCTGAAGTTGGCTCGACAACAGATATGCGGTTGCTAGGTACAGCTAGCTTTGTGAACTCTTGCTTTGACTGTAATATTTTTTCGTGTTTCATATCAGGAAGCAAATCAGAAAATTTGGTGATCTTCTTGTACGCCCGCTCAGTAGTTTTCATCAAATACTTTTGTTCGTAGTAGATTTTCGACTGTGCAACTATATTTTCTGTCGTCACACTTAAACCAATCATCGTTGCTAAGAGTTCTGCTGCCGAAGAAATGAATGCGATATTAGTGGTGTACAGTCCTTTGATGTTAGCTTTGTGCCGATTCTCTTTTCCCAATCTAGAAAGCTCCAAGTTTGCCACTTCGACATTGACAACAAATACTCTAAACCAAACAATGAATGCCCATTCAATACAGTTATCAATTTGGCAATCAGCTAAAGCAAATAGAGAGTTGATTGTTTTGCTAATTTCAATAAATGCACTTCCTTCAAGCTCATTCAATAAAGCAAAACTTCCTGGTCGCTGGACAAACCAGTTTGCAAGACGTCCTCTAATAGTGAATAGAGACATGAATAAGTGAAGTGCATATTTGAAATGCATCGAATCAATGTTTATATCATCAAGTAGACTGAACTTCGGAACTTCTAACTGGTCAAACATTGCAGTCATCCTAAAACAAAAAGAGAAAAAACGTTAATAATTTAAACTAAATTTAAACTTATTGCAAAAATTCTTACTTCACATAATCATTTGCCCTTGCTGGATCTACAGTGAAATTGTCTCTTGGTAATTGACTAAACAAAATAGAACTGGTGTTTGTTTGATGATAATCAACCAGTAAAGCACAACCGATTTTAACTATATCTTCTCTTTTTATGCTCATTTCATTTAATGTGGTCTCAAATTTTGCATGATCCCCTTGTCTTCCGTTGCAGTTCTGAAGCATGTTTGATGCAAATGCGATCATTGCGTGTTCTGTAAAATAGGCATGCTTTTCAGTTACGTTAATGCGCAATTTTTCAAAGCAAACTTTGACACTCGCATGCCAACAAGCAGCAATTCGATGATATAACTTTTCAGAATGGTTCAATTTAGCTGATTTATCTTCATAAGCAAGATTTGCCATACTTTTGTGGCTGTCTATTCGACTATTTTCTTTATAACTGTCTGCAGTTACTCCAATGTAAATAAGACAACATAAAAACTCAAACAAAGATTTGTCTGATGTCTCTGTAAACATTGAATACACATATGCTTTTAACTCAACAAACGTAGACACTTTTTGAATTTTCTCTAAGATTAAGCGATATAAACTCAGAGTATTCTTTAGTGTTGTTTTATCTGTCATCATTGTATAAAGCACATGGTGGCAAGACATTATAATTCGCGTTTCCGTCAAAGCTGTTTTACTTGAAGAGGTTACATTTTGAGGCTGTCTGATTGGCACTTCCAGTTTGGTGCTGTGACTTGACCGATGGAATCTGTACGCCGATGAATTGACTTCTGCTGCTGATTTGGGCTTTTTGAAGTGAATGTCCGACTTTGATTCGATTGGTCCTAGAAAAGCATAAAAATTATAAATGTATTCAACAAAATAATAAACTTGTTTTTTACTTTTTGATTGCTGCTGATGCCTAGATGGTCCAATTGCTCCTTCCGCTACTTCAGTCGGTGCCGTGGGTACTGATAATAAACAAAATATTACTAAACAAAAAAGCTACACACCACATTTTATTATTTTATTACCATGAGCAGGCGGTGAAACAATGAAAGGCACATCAACTTCCATTTTGGCGTCCAGCGCATCCTGTCCCTTAAGATGAGATGAACCAGAACCTTGAAAACCAACATTTTAGTATTTTTAAAAATAATAATATTGTTAATTATTTTACCGTAAACAAGATGTGAAACTGAAGGCGCATCAACTTCCATTCTGGTGGTCTGTGGCAAATGTCCATTGGGTTGAGAAGAAGAGCCTTAAAAGTAAATATTTTAATAACTTTGTAAATTATAGTACTGAAAATTAATTTACCATGAGCAGCCGGCGAAACTTTAGGCAAATCGTCCGAGGCAGCGAATCCAGAGGAGTGAGCCGATGCATCTATAGCATATTAAAATTTTTAATAATTTTGTAAATTATAATTATGTCAATTATTTTACCATGAGCAACTGGTGAAACTTTGGGCAAAACATCTGAGGCAGCGATTCCGGAAGAGTGAGCCAATGCATCTATAACATAATAAAACTTTTAATAATTTTGTAAATTATAAAACTTTTAGTTGATTTACCATGAGCAGCAGACGAAGAAGGCCGAGACGTTTCATCAACCATATCCACATCTGAAGTGGCCGGCCCTGTGTGATGAACTGGTGCATCTATAAAATAAATATTTAGATTACTGAAATGATTTTAAATTAAACAATTGTAATATACTTACGCTGTCGAAGAATAGCAGCAAAACTTACTGCCATCATTCTTAAGATGAAATCGGCTGGTTGGCACAGTTTTTTGTGTTCTTCCGATAAGGCAACAAAATAACGTTTGCAGTGATTGCAACGCATCTTATGCTCGGAATCCTCTTGATCTCTTCCATCAACAAGACTCAAAACGAGAAAATTGAATCTCTTGAACGCTTCTTTTTTAATCGATTTCTTCGATACGTCATAAAAATCTGTGAATAAGTTAGTTTAGTTAGCTTTACAAAGTTATAGCAATTACGTTTTTGGAATTTTGTCAACACTTAATAATTGATTGCATTGCGCTAATTCACCTCATTCCAGTTTGTAGTGTACTATGCAATTTGTAAGTAATTTAATTCAAACATTTACATGTAAAACCCTATTCACCCCCTAAAAAATTGTAGCAGTTAATTTCTCATATCTTTTCCCACACTTAAAAAACAATTTGCTATTGCACCTCATTCTAATTAGTAGTATACTAAGGAACATGCATGTGATTAACTGCAGAATCTCGCATAAAGTATTTTATCTGTTGTTAAAACTCTACAAAATAAAAGTTTTTGTATGAAAACTTACGTTGTTTCACTTTAGTGTGAAACCTTTCAGCCAGTTCTCTTGTTCTTGATGCTTCCGTTTTGCACAAATCCGTGTGCTTCGTGATATCCTTTTTGTGAAACTTCAGATGACACAATGTGCATTCTTTCCCTTTTGAGGTACTTTTGCCCATAGATTCTGCCAGCTTGTATACTCCTTCCGACAAACAGTTGTTGAAGGCGGAGTCCTCAATGGGGACGATGAAAGACCATGTTTGATTTCCGGCAGCCATTGTTGATTGGAAATTGGTGGTGGTGAAAAAAAGATGAAAAGGAAGTTGAAAAGAAAATGAAATTAAAATTGAAGAAAAGTTGAAGTAGCGGTGGTGGCGAACACGTGGGATTTATAACGACAAAAAATCACAACAACAAATTTCAGAAAT